CTGCAGAACTAAAATCCTTGATGGAGACACAAAAGGATATGTCAGCGAGGTAAGATCTGAACCAATTGAGGGCTGACCCTGTGATGCCCACCCACTGCTCCAACCTAGCAATGAGGATCTCATGGTCAATGGTGTTAAAGGCGGTTGTAAGGTCCAATAGGACAAGCAGCACAGAATCACCAGTATCTGTGGTTAAGAAAATGTCATTAAAAACTTTCAGTAGGGCAGTTTCAGTGCTATGGAGAGGTTTAAAGCCAGATTAGAATAGCTCTAAGATAGCGTGACCCTCCGGGAAGCACTTCAACCGGGACTCGACTATTTTCTCCAGTAGTTTAGAACAAATGGGAGCCTGGAGACAGGCCGGAAAATGGATACGACTGAGGGGGTCAAGGTTTTTTTTTTTTTTTTAGGAGAGGCTGGACAGCAGCGTGTTTAAAGGTTTTTGTCAGCTGCACATGACCTGCTCTAAAGAAGATAGAGTGATGGTTCAAAATGGTCAAATAGAGATACAGATTCAGGTGGGATGGATGAGTCATGAGTTGGAGGGGACATTGGTCACAATTTTTTCCAAAAAGAAATGTAGGAAGTTTTCGCACAGCTCAGTTGAGGCTTCCAGAGGTGATGGTTCAGTGAGGTGGAGAACAGAGTTTAGGGTAGAAAAGAGGACACGTGGGTTGTGAGAGTTTGAGGTAATGATATCAAAAAAGTATTTGGATTTAGAAGCTTTTACTGCTTTCTGATAACGGTGCCAGCTCTCTTTAAATATTTGAAAAAAGACCTGCAGCCTGTCTTTCCTCCACTTGCGCTCCGCCCTCCTGCACTGCTGTCTAACAGTCTTGTTGATGTCATTCAGCCAAGGTTCTGCTCTGAGTTTTGATTTTCTAGTTTTAACAGGAGCGAATTGATCCAGAGTCTTTAAGCAGACAGAGTTGAACTGGGATATCAGCTCCTCAGTGATGGTGAGAAACACCGGGGACTGAATTATCATTTCAGAGTTATAAACATCTGTGAAATGTGCAGCAGTGAAGTGGTTAATTGCCCGGCTACTACGTGCAGGAACACACGGTTTAGGAGTTAGATGGGGAGGGTGAACTCAAACCAAACTGGCATGTGGTCTGAAAAAACATTATCACGAATTTCAAGATTACTTACAGTCACATCACGAGTTAAAACAAGGCCCAGTGTATGTCCATGCTCTTGGGTGGGACCGTTTACATGCTGCCTTAGATTAAATGAGTCAAATAAATCTAAAAAGTCCTTAACCAAGGGCTTCTCCTGACAGCACACATGCAAATTAAGGTCCACAATAATGAAAACATGATCATATTTTGGTGTGACTTCAGCCAAGAAATCAGAAAACTAATTTATGAAATATGTAGATGAACATATTCTGTGATATATTCATAAATTAAACGGATTCATTCATTTTTCTGGACTG